ATTACTAATGTGACCTATTGTCCTTGTTGCCAATTTGCTGTTAGCATCCAATTTTATTTTGATAAGGTTACCGTTGTTTAAAGATCGAAACATTTATATGTATTTTACGGGTCGATCCTTTGAAAATAATTGCTGAATTTGGACTGGATATGGTACGAAAATAACAAATTTACGTCTTTAAGATATGAAGACAGAGAATGCCACCAGGTGACCTGTAGTTATAAGCATGAATTTCGTGTTACCTACACCATTTGCAGTCTGTGATGAAATGGACCATCGTAGCTTGAAGAGAATATAGGGTAAGGATGGAGAATAAATTGAATTGTGAAGACAGATCTGAGTCTCATTGAAACCTCGTCACTAGTAGAAGTTAAAGAAGATTTATCGGAATTTGATTTGAGTTAAACTAAATAAAAGATAACTCGGCTCGTTCGGAGAGATTTTTTAACATGAAGAGGTCGGGAAAACACATTCACAATTTACAATGAAAGCTTTGAAGTTTTCCACTAAGATTTATTGGAAATTTTAGCAAATTAGTTTTGTTATTGATATGATGCTTTAGGGATAAACCGATCCATAGTTGGTGGGTGTACAAGTAAAACCAGTATATCTGTAGGTGATGTCAGACTATGACTGCTGAAAGATAGTTTTTTCTTTGAATGATTTTAAATAAGTGTAACACAACAATATGGCTTAGAATTCCAGTTGCGATGTAAAAATTTTATTGTGAATGTTCAAATAACTATTGGTTCGTGAAAATACCCAATATCAGCTTAAATAAAAACAACTTCCGGGTTAATGAGGCTTACTCATATTCATAATAAAAACGTGTAAGTCTATCTAAACTTATCACTCAATTGCAGAAGTATTGTTGTGGTGTTCAAATTAAACCCCCAATCGAGAATAAATCTAAAGAGAAAAAGGTGGGGGGAGGGGGGTGTTGCAGGTAGCCCCGAATGAAGGTTGAAGGGCATGACTCTTATAACTAGGTTATAAATTCGGGCAACCTCAGATATTTCGCCCACCCCCTCGGACGTCAACCTGACTTCGCCACTGTGTAATGCATTAAATAGCTATATTATATAAAGGTTTGAAATCGAAAGGCAAGTCAGTTTACTTGTCATCCCGTGAAACCATAATCTAAGAACTCTGTAACCTTGATATTTCTTTGACATTTGAGAATTGAATCTGGTGGATCAGGCATTGAACCTAGAATAAAGTGTCAAGATAATGTTAAACGTAGCTTCGGGGATGAGGCTATTGTCACAATTATGAATGTTTTTGGCGTGAGATATCGTTTGCCAAGTCCACGTATTAACCTTTGCGAATTTCTGAGTGAAACTTCCGACGTATCTTCGGGAAATACCTATTGTATTCTAATATTAGCATAAAGGTTAAATCATATGATAATAAAGATCCATAAACGCTTTTTCTTGTGTATCGAAAATAATATATGACTTCGTCCCATACGAAACTACACATGGTTCTTACATGGAAATAATACACACGAACGTAGTTCACAACCATTTTGAATCTCTTAAAAAAGGTATAATATTTCAACCAAGCAATATTTAATGTTTTAGCAATGGCTTTTTGTCAGTGCACAGAAGGCTTTTATATGAATGTGATAGAGCCTGGGATTTTATTATTTTGAAGACGCATTTCAAAATGTGAACGAGACATTGCCTTGAGTCTGTAGCTGATCTTGATGACCACTTTGTGTGCTTGTGGAAAACATAATTAGACTTATCGGCTATGAGGCAGACACGAAGACGAGTTGGTGAACCGGTTTGACGTTGAATCCGTGAAACCGACTTGAAAATGCAATAGAAGATACGGGAGTTCTTGTATTTTTTTTCTTTTAAAAACATGAGTGCTATCATGAAATTGATCATTTGACTTTTGGGGGGCTTGTTTGATTTGCATAATCGCATGTAACCATTACGTTACATAATTGATTGATACAAACATTCCTTTAGTGCTAGGTGTAGCACCCATTAGAGAACTACACGTGGAGTTGCAGAAGTTGGACATTATTTAATTAAGAATGTTCTTGAAGACAACAAAAAAACTATTAGGTCGATCGGAAAAAATCCAATTCTAAGAGCATATCTACATCGATTTTATTTGAATTACTCAATGAGATTCCTTGAAATTTTTACATAGAGAGAGTACAGTCAAATATGATTTGTCTAAGTTTTGATCTCAAGATTTGATCCAGATTCAAATTATTTTATTAAAATGGCCTATTAGACAGACGTAGCCGACCGTTGTTACATAATTTTTGTTTGATTTTGTGAAGTCGAATTTCGTTTCTAAAGCTACTTTATTCACCTGCAAGTACTATTTTAGATATTGATTAGTTAGCTATAATCAGAATGATAGGAGATGGAGATGGGTTAGTAGTTTCAATAAGTTTTTATTGTATAAAGAACACTAAGCCTCTTGGCTAAACAAGACGGCTGTGATTGTTCAAATGTTCTCACTTGTTGCCAAATCAATAAAAGTTTCATAGAATAGCATTTTGTGTATTTAGACTGGAATTTACTTTGCTCTTCCGATCGCTCGTCGATTTTATCTGAAATATTTTATGTTTTTAAATTTCCTGCAGTACTACATACATTCCTTATATACAATATATTCCGATATACATTTACTCCAATGTTTTTTTAAGTTAGATTTTTCGAAATGTGCTTAATTACATCTTATGTGTATGCATGGTTGAATGTACTCTCTAAAAGTTCGTGACTTTCTGACCACCTGGCTACGTGTCCTGATCAGGAAAAAAATACATATCATAATATGTACAAAAGTGGTGTATTGTTCAGGCGCTTTGGGTCTCATCCAAATCTTCTGATACTTAAGCTCAGGTAGTTATATCTATTCATAGGTTTTATCTTGAAAAATCGAAATTTACTTTTTGGAAATTTATATTTCGTAAAGTAAGTACATCCTTTAAATAATAAAGATATAGATTTGGATAGAAACAACAAATAAGAACAAGTACTGTTTAAAAATCAAACAAAAAGTTTGAAAGGTACCAATAACACAAGAATAGCCAGTTTAAGTTTAACAGTTCTTGACACATTGTCTTCATTTTTTGTCTATTTGAGAGAAACTTGATAATCTGCTGTATACCTTTTTGTAGATTTTTACTTTAAGTCGTAGGAGTTGCAATTACTTTTTTATCACTTTGCTTACAGACTCGATTTTGTTTTATTTTTGTGCTGTTACGAATTGTAAAGTAAATCTTGTTACACAAGCAATCTAAAGCAACCACAAAGAACGCAAAGTACCAAACTTTAGATAGAAAAATCTCATTTTTTCTATTATGACAGCTGGTCATATGCCAAATCTCTTTGCTGTGATCTTTCTCTAACAATCCGACCGATTTACAGCTTGGTCGAATAGAATATTGGAAAAGATGATTTATTCAAGGTCACCAGAATTGCACACTTATAAGTGAAATAGGTAAGACTGCAGCATGACTTTAAGTTAAAATTTCACTTCATGATCTCCTTTTAGCAAGCTGTAATTTAGACTATCGCTTTACCTAAATTATATTCCAAGCATGACCACGACTAAGTGTAGTGTAGTAAAATAAGGAGAATGAGTCTTGATTACTTTTCAACGTTACTGTAACATATTTATTTAGCAATATATTTCTAGTCAAGTTAATTCGATTATATTCTCAATATATCTTAATCATCTAGGCTACTTGATAAAACGACGGCAAACTTATGAAGTGTGTGTTCGTGTTGTCAAACTTGTCGCTGTCAATATTGTGTTGATTTCTCACGGGACTGGGTTCATCAATAATGGATAGGTTATCCATACCATGGTATTAAACTCTGGTTCTATTACACTTTCTATAAAACACCACTCTAATCTCTTTCTACTCACAACCAGATACATTATTTTGTATTAAGCGAACTGACTACTCTAATATAATTAATTTTTATTAAAAAACGAGATTCTTTTACAAGATTGAATTTACGAGGCAAAAGAACTCTCATAAAAATTAAATTTAAACTAATGCTGATGAAAAAGCGGGAAAGTTTAAATTTCTATTGGTCTGGGGACACGATATAAAATGACTTCAGTAAAGACCTGATAAAAAATGACTTCAGTAAAGACCCGAGAAGCCCAGTAAACTCAGAAATTGTGAATTTGAAAGCAACACTCCATGATATGTGATGGATCTTTTTGCGGGGAATTTCTTGCTGTAAAGTAACTTTTATTAGAACTCATATTGGATCAACAAGTGCATGCCAGATTAAAGGGTTTTTAGTTTTCCGGTAAGGAGGTCAAATGATAGCCTCAGCTGTTAGTAGGAATCTGGCGAAGCAAATAACTGATTAATGGTCTAAGTGTCGACACAGTAATCTTTGCTTGATAAAAACATCAATGATTGACTGGACAATCAAAAATGAATAAAAGCTATCGTGATGTTACATAAAGAGAAAGTAATTTACTGGTTGATCCCGACTCCAAGTAACGTGATAATGATAATGGCGGGAGAAAACCTGTTCGCAGACGATATAACGAGGTTGACCAATTAGTTGAATGTATGATGTTAACATTGGCGGGAATTAAAACCCAGACGACACAGTTTATATATACCAAACCAATTCTTGTATTCTCATATCAGTTGGTTTTAGCATATTGGTCCTAAACGAAAGCTTAGACGGTTTTATTGTTGGATTGTCGTATGGCACATGGTTCGCTGTAGGGATATTCAGTTTTAAGTTGTAACCAGTCCTTTGGGATCATGACAGTTTAATAATTTTCGTAAATGCGATCATGTCAATAGAAAAAGATTCGTATTAACTAAAACAAAGTTATGCTACAGTTTGCAATCTTTCAAATCTTTCAGAGCCCTCAAGAAACATCTAAAAAATTTCATAATATACTTTCACACTAACGTCAGTCACCTTTTAAAAAGGGTTTTTACTGAAAGTTGATTCTCATATTAAATTGATTTTTTTCTCTCTTTCCAGAAATCTATTCCCTGATAATCTGATATTATCGTGTGTAGATGCTGTAAGTATTTGGATATTTTATTCACAATTTCCGCCGTTCACTGTTTTCTTGCCATTATATTCTTCATTCAGCTTTTATATCTATTTCCTGATTTCCGTATTCTGTATCTCTAATTTCCTTAACATCTTACTTTTTAAAGTCTTAATAATAGTCAATCAACGACGAATAAATATTTACAATTTGTGGAACCCCGTTTGTTTTGCAGATTAAGCAGTGTTCACTTTTTAGTTTATACATACCTGGAGGTATTATAAAAGAGTTCTTACGTTGATTACTCTGTGACGCCTAATTTGATGAGACATATAGGAGACAATGATCTAACATTCTGGAAGTCAGGCAAACATCCTCCTCCCTCTGAAATAATTTCGGACGTTTGCGTCAGATTTGTGTCATTCCAGTGTCAGTTTGTCGATGTTGATTAGCGAATTTGATATACTATAATATCCTAATGTAACAGAACTGAATAACGACGACAGTGCTTCTCACTTTTTTATCTTTTGAAATTTCAGTACAGAACAGTAGAAAAGAAAGAATTTAAAGAAAAAATAATGCCTAAAACAAACGATACATTAAATACCACTGCATCACCGACCTCGCTGGTTTATTATTTACTGAATAACGCCACCAACGTAACGGAGAAGGTTGGAGGTAGGTTTTTAAAATAATATGATTGCAACCAATACTTTCTAAGTCGTATAAAAGTATGTTTCATAGTAGTTACCTTTAAGCAATATGATATAATTATGCAAATGTTTAAATCTACGAGCACTAAAATATGAGGCGATACAGTATGTATCAGTGCGATATAACGTCTAACTTTTACCGACAAACGCGTGGTCATTTAAACGCTCCTTCAGAGAAAACAAATAATTAGCACCAAATTATGTATGCATACCTACAGCTTAATTCCTTTTCTTTTCTTAATTATCAACACGCCCATTGTTTGTGGTGGCCACTGGAATGGTCAACGCTAATTGGTAAGCTTTAGCAAGGCTTGGATGAAAACGTTGCTTCCCGAAGGGACACTTTGCAGCATTTCGCAAATTCTTTGCACCACTCTTTCCAATCTCATTTTCCATCATTTCGATATCTGCACACGGGGACCTTTCAAGTCATTTGGGACTTGTCGACTTGTTGCTTGGTATAACTGAAACAGTTTTACCGACAATCACTTTTAATGAAGACGAACAGTTTTCCAATAAGATCACAACTGATACAATGTAAAAGACGGTATTGGCTGGAGCCATCGGTAAAACCGATAGGTTAACCGAAAACGTACAAACCTAGTGTAGGTTATGATGTTATCTGTAAACTAACCGTCTACCTGAAGTCGACAAGTTGTGTGCAACATTTACCATGAATCACTTGTTAGATCTTTATTTGACTGGGACTGTCTGTAAAACGCGGAATCGTTCGATAAAAGACGGTAATTACTGGAGCCGTTGGTAAAACCGATTGGTTAACCGAAAGTGTGAAAACCTGGCAACAATGCATCTTTTAGGTCACGGAAGAACAACCCAATTCCACGCCGCCCTGTGCGCCCTCCCGTTCGCTACGCCCCTGTTTATCAGCAATTATGACGAACTCTCGATGGTCAACAATATATTGATTTTTTCTCAATATTGTCAAGTGTATTTCGCTTATTACATTAATGTCAGAGGCAATAATTCTATACTTTATTTGGTTAAAATGTTTTAAATTTGTTTAACCTTATTTCCAACTCGACAACATGACCATGGTATAAATATTTCAAAATGTAACTTGTAAAATGGCGCACAATGCGACAACCATTTTTGGCCTTTTTGTTCCACACCTCACAAACTGAACTAAAGTTACATGTTAAACTGGTGAAGTACTGAAACATATCTATGATATATTATGTATTATAATAATGAATTCATATTTCCAGAACCGTACGAATGGGTTCCAACCAAGTCTTCAACTGGTCAAACTAATGTTCTAGGAATTGTAATGTTTTCTATATTATTTGGAGTGATGTTAGGACGTATGGACAGTAGAGGTAAACCAGTTCTCGATTTCTGTTCAGTAATCGTAGAAGTCACCATGAAGCTTTTCACTGTTTTTATTTGGTAAGTACATTTTGTAATTTTCCAAAACAGTTTAAATTAATTGCAAGCTTACTCAGAATCAGAAATTTTTCTTCTTAAAGGGACAAGTGCGGCATTGGGGGGGGGGGGGTTGATTTTAGTCTTGATTATATGTAAATAGC